CTAGATGCGGCAGCTTGCACTTGTCTGCGTTGAATTCTGTTCTATTCTCATCTGCCCACCCTGTACCCTGGCTAGATGTAGCTGGATTCTGTTCCTCCCCTCCAGTGTGCCCACTTCTCCCCATATCTTTGTGTCATCAGCGAATTTGGACAGTCACCTCCATGCCCACCTCCAAGTCTCTGATAAAGATGTTGAACAGCACAGGCCTGAGACAAAAAGACTTATATTGCTGTCAAAATGATAATATTCAAAGGTTTCCTGGAATCTTCAAATATAAAAAAAATGATTTGCTGGAAGTTCTCTAAATATTTTATGCATTCATCATTTTTTCAGAAAGTTGACAAAAATGTCAGCAGTGACAGAGACAAAAAGACATAATTCTAATAGGCAGTTAGAAGAACATTTCTGGGAACAATGCTTTTTTTGTACATATGCGTAAGTTGCCCAATATATTCTTCACTGTTTAAAATTTTCAGCAGTTATAGAAGGGTTGGGCTTATCTAACATCTCCCCCAACTATACGGTTGGTCCAATAAAATATATCCCCCCAAAACCTTGCTCGACAGTATTTATGATTCTCCCTCCCCACATACCTTTAGAAAGCCCCTCAAGTATTACTTGGGTAGAAAAAATAATTTGGGGTTCCCCCCAAATCCTGGACAGCAACTCAATGAGAAAGATCCACTTTGCTTGGATTCTATGACAGAATAATCTATAAAAGGTAATAACTGCATTGGTGGATTACTTTTTAACTGCCTTGTGGGTTTTTCACATCTACTTTGAAATTAACAAAAATTAAACACTGTCTTTGTGATTTTCCTCTGTGCAATGCTCTTAGAACTGAGCAATGTTTTCACTGCAGTTCCATCTGCTGAATACAGAGGTATCAATTTGCATGTAATGTATACACAAAAGCTAGAATGCAAAGCAAAGGACATCTTACATTAATCTGGAGTTTTGGAGTCATGCCATTACCTGATTCTTTTTTTTTTTAAAATGACTGAACATAGAACACCATATAAATTGTGTTGATAATTATGAAAAAGAATCGATTAAAACACAACTGTTTTGCTATTGTAATGTGTGGTTTTGGTGTCTGAATGCTATTGCTGAAGAAATGACAGTGGTGAGAAAAAATACTGCTTAGCTACAAAATCTTATTCTACTGAGCAAAAAAATGTAATTGTTGTGGTTGATATAGTCCTATGACCCCATGTTTTTGGTATTAGTGTTCATTATTACTTGTATTATTCATATCCCAGAAGTGTGCTTAAAATGAAAATTGAGTTTGTGTTGAAAGTTGAAACAAGAGATATAATTTCAAACTGGATGAACTACGAGAAACCTGCCCATTCTGGTTTCCACATGCCAACCAACACCACCACTCTGGGAAAGTTGATATGGGAAAAAGAAAGACCCTTATTTCAAAACACTTACGTGTTTAACTTATTGCTGCGTGCAGTGCCCACTCATTTTAATGAGACAAGGTAAAGCACATATACAAGATTGTACAATCAGGGCAAAGGGGATTTAAAAAACAAAAATACTTACTAGTACCTAAAGCTCTGAGATGTATTGACCATATTCACATTTTGACTCATTGGCATCTCATACTCCAGAGCTCCCACTGGAGACTTTCTGCCCTTTCAGTACCTGTAGAAGGCTCTCCTGCCCTTCCTTTGTTTGCATATTTAAGGGACAAAAGAGGTGTGTACCTCCTACTCCTCAATTGTCTCTCAACTAGAGTCCTATAAGGAATGATGGCAGGATTCTAATGTCTATGTGGACCAAGCTGGGGGGAGTAGTAGATATGCTGGAGGGTAGGGCTAGGATTCAGAATGATCTACACAAACTGGAGGATTTGTCCAAAAAGGAATCTCATGAGGTTCAACAAGGACATGTACAGCACTTAGAACAATCCCACGCACCAGTACAGACTAGGAGATGACTGGCTGGGCAGCGGCTCTGCAGAAAAGAACCTAGGGGTTACAGTGGACAATAAGCTGAATATGAGCCAGCAGTGTGCCCTTGCTGCCAAGAAGGCTAACAGCATCCTGGTCTGCATTGGTAGGTGCGATGCCAGTAGGGTCAAGGGAAGTGATTATTCCTCTCTATTCATCACTGGTGAGGCCACATCTGGAGTACTGTGTTCATTTTTGAGCCCCCCACTACAGAAAGGATGTGGACAAATTGAAGAAAGTCCAGCAGAAGGCAACATAATGGTGAGGGGGCTAAGGGACATGACTTATGAGGAAAGACTGAAGGAACTT